CGTTTTTGTCAGTGACGAGCCTACAATTCTACAAATCCCTGATCAACAGGCTGATGTGCATGTTCTTGTTGGCATAAATTAGCTTTTTGACAGTTTTTTGTGGATAAAAGGCAATCCTCTTTGTCCCAAACCGTATTAACCTCTAGTTAAGAAGATTGGAGTCGACGGTCAGCACACAAGTCTAAGTCAAAAGGACCTCTAACCTCCAGACTGTACATAAAATTATTGGTTATTATTATCAAGCGATCGTTTACTACGTATAATGTTTGTTTGTTGAGCTACGCCGTTTGCTTATTCCGGTGCCATTTGTACCCAAATCAGTGGGTTCGTGTGCGACTACTTTCTCTTCTGGCCGGTTTAGCAGCTACCGCATCGCCCCTGTCCTAAGCGAACGCCCATGTTCGACGTTTACGTGTAAGATTCGTAGCAAATCTCACAATTAGTGCTAAAAAGTAAAAATTACCCCAAGCTGATCCAGTTGAATGTCTCCATTATTTCCAAAGTGATCCGCTGGTGAGAGCCGCTAATAGCATTTACATTGTACAGCTCTAACTATTTCGCTTACGCTCTTCGTATTGCCTCTTTATCAACCCCCCCATCAGACTGCTGCTTATGATTAGCTCGCGGAAGGACACATTTACGTGCAGCCATCTGTTTTAAATAAAGCGCTGCCATTGGCCATAATAAAAGTTCGCTTTGGACAAAACTTCGCTTAGGACAGGGGCAATGCGGTATGCAAGCTCGGCATTTCGGTATCATCTTTGTAATCATCTACGTATATCATCTAGTATGTCGTGATTCTGTGGGGACAACCACTTTTTATCAATCCAGTGGGATCAAAAATCCAGATATGTACCGTTTTAATGATACACAGCGTGACATACGCTGTATGTACCGGTATTAATTCTTAAGTACTGGCATGCCATGATTGCGAAGCTGTACTGCAAAACACATGTATTTACTGTTTCAGCACACAGCAAATCATTTGACCTGACTTCTGTATACGTTTGACCTTCTGAGTGTCGCAATAAGTAGAGGTCACAGCAGAAAAGGCGCTTCGCTTGGCTGGGCGCCAAAGGGGCAGCGAACC